GGGGCTCCCCGCGAGCAGCCCGCGCAGCGAGCGCGCCCGGGACCGCGCAGCACGGAGCGCTGGAGACCTGGGCAAGGCACCCCACGGCACGGGCGTCCGCCAGCAGCGCGCGCACAAAGAAATGCACAGCCAGGGATGCACACGTGTGCATGTAGGGGTACACACATCCAAAGAAAATGCCGTGGAAATTTGTTAATCTATACCGAGAGGTCCCTAAAATTTAGTATAAAGTAGCGCACAAAGCAGAAGCAAACCCAAGCCCATCCAGAGTGCTCAGGGTGCTGAAGCCCGTGAACCTCAGGGTGCTGAAACCTGTAAATCGCTGGCGAGGCATGTGTGGGGCGGTGTTACCATTTCTACAAGCCACCTGGTAAGAGAGACCGTCTTATGCACCATAACCTGCACTGTGTCATCACTTGTTCCTGGGATACACTGAGAAACACTCTCTTATCTGATACACTTGATATTAAGGGATTTAATCACCAAAACATAGGGGCTCCCAGATTTCGGTTTTGCACAAAGCACATCAAACTTGGGCAGTCCATGTGGCCTATGAGCTCATGCCGCTACGATCAAGTGCTCTATCACTGAACACCTCAGTGCACGTGCGGGATCTCATTCACCTCCAAAGACTGACAGTGCGGCAGGAATCACCTCAAAGAGAAGCCAAAGAGCTCCCCAGATGGCTGCAATGGGAATGCAGGAGGTGCCTCCTTTACCCCACAGGAGACAACCCAGACGGTCGGGGCTGGAGCACCTCTGCTATGAGGAACAGGACTCATAATTTAAAACAAGAGAAATCCTGACTTGATACAGGGGGAAAATTTCACATCATGAGCACGGCCAAGCAGCGGAGCAGGTGCCTGGCACCTGCCAGACTCTCCTTGCAGACTCTCAAGCCTGGGTGGGTAAAGCCCTGAATAACCTGATCTGGTCTCAGAGCTGCCCCTCCTGCAAGCGGGTGGCACCGAGAAATCCTGAAATTTGGAAATCCTAAAGCTGGAGTACAACGAGGTTAGTATTTGACCTAATTGACACGAAAATTTATAAAATGTTAATCACAAGAGCCTTGAAGAGGATTTGAAAATTGTAGGAGACTCAGGTAGAATAGAAAGGCTTGGCTTTGCATTGTGGACGTTTATTTTAACTAGGGAGCAGTCAGTTTTGCAGTTTAGGAAAGAGGATCTGTAGTTTGAAGTCTAGGTATTGAAACCAGCTCTGATTTAAACTCACAAAAATAGAAAGTGAGGCAAGAGAACAAGGCACATTTCATTGCTTTGCTGGGATCTGCATGCTTACTGCGCTCAGGCAGAGAGTCATTATTTTTGCAGTTTTGCTATATGATACGTGTCTGTTTTGTCTCAGTAACCGCGTGCCTCTGGGGAGACTCACTGAAACTCAGAACATGCACAACAGCACAGAGATATGTTATTAACATACCTGGAAAGGAGATGGCAAAACGGGCCTGGAACTGGAACACGTGGTACTGTTTCCACTAAGAAATAATAAGGGGCAGGTAGGGTAGTAGAAATCAAGGGAAACAGCCCAGCTGCGACCTACACACCAAGAGGAGAACATGGAAATTAACAGGTGGCTTGAGCTCAGCAGTGAGGTGGGTTTTCACTTGCAGGAGCTCATCAGAATATGGGCATTCACACCACAAACTCGCCTTTCTCCCAGACCTTTTGCCAAAATGACACAGCAAAAGTGTTAAGGTTACATAAGTTCTCAAAATACAGGAAATACCCACCCAAATTTGATGTGCTCTCCCATTATTTTAAGTGACTTGATGTTTTTAATTAGAGAACCATGTATCATTTTTCCAGAGTGCCCCTGCCCTACGATGACAGTATTTCCTTTTCCCCTATGCATTTCACACACAGCCCCAGGTCTTCCTCCCTTCCTTACTTCACTCATTATCCAACACCTTCACTAGACACAAAGTACAAAACTGAATACCAAGTTAGAGGGACTCCCTTCGCACCCACAGCGCAAAGCCAGGCCGCTCTGTGAGAGCTCAACCCACCAGCATGGTCCCGTGAGTGCCTTGGTGCGACCGGCCTGCGCGGCGCTGGAGAGGAGCCCTCCCAGCAGAACGTCTCCCACCCTGCCCTCCGCAGCCGCCCGAGCGCTCACGCTGCTCACAGGCTGCAGAGGTGCCTCCAGGAGGGCTTTCGGCTTTCTTCGCTGTCTAATCAGACAAGCAGGGAAATGTTTTGTGACTTGCAGTGCGTCTTCCTGCCGCTAAGCACTGTTCAGGTTGGTTCAAGCTGCCACGAGCTGGTGGCCCTTCCTTCTCTGAGCGGAGGCCGGTTTTGCCTGCAGCCAGCGGACTGCTCTACACGCTAGCTCTGCATCAGCAATCTCATCTTACTGATTTTGCAATCCCTTCCTTGATTTACTTTTTATTTAATGCCAACTCTTGGGGGGAAGGAGGAAACCTAAAACTGAAAGAAATGCAGACAAACATTTTTCACAAAAATCTGATGAGTTCTTTATGGATTTAAAAACTCTGGTCACCCCCTGCACTGTCCTGGATGGCTCTCCCCTTCTTTCTCTTCTTCAGGTTCTTTCCCTTCTTTCACTGCTTGAACCCTTTCGGTTCATCTCCGGTCTATTCCTTCCTATATTCCCCTCTTTGGGTAGCTTTTGCCTGATGTGACCTAAGCAGAGCTCTGCCACATCGTAAGAAGTGTTTTCTGTCATCTATAAGTAGGACAAGCTTTATTATAAGCAAAAGGGGAATGACTGCTTCCTAAAATACCTAATACAAATACTAAATACTAAAATACAAATGCTAAAATACAAAATAATCTTTACAACACTCCAGGTTGCTGCTTGTTCAGGCTACAATACTGCAATGCTGTTTTACAAAACACTGCTTTTGAGGCTGGGACTTCAAGGCTTAAATTAAGGCACAGTGGGGTTGTTCTCTGGTGATTCCTGAACTTTGAGCAGTGTCATTCAGACACTCACAACACTAAAACGGCTCCACTATTAAACAGAATGTTTTGCATCTCTGTAACAAAGGAGCGATATAATCTCTTAATCTGATTTGTATTCAAAGTGCTATCATTTTATTCTTACTTCTGAAGTTTGTTTTCATTGTTCCTTTGTTAGAAGAGACAAAGCAGTTGTGCTGATAATTCTGGCCAGGACCGCCACAACCCAGATACATGCTGAGGGGCGCTGGAGCTATGTAACGTCAGCATATGTGGAAACAGCCTTTTGTGGACACTTTTTGTAGGAAGCTCCCAAATTAGTGATTGCTGTGGCTGGTTCAGCTTTCAGGGCTTTCTCTTTGCATGTGAACACCTTGGGACAGTGGCTTTTGCTGGAAAGTGGTGGAAATTTTCTCAAATTTTTCACTAAGTTCGCCAGCAGGCTTATGGCTTGAGTTCACGCTGAAGCAAACTGTCCCATGTCTGGACTTCTTGGAGAGGTGAAGTAGAGCACAGCGTGGGGAACACATGCGTCTGAAATGCTGGTCACCAGCTTGTTTGAATCCAGGCTTCTCATCAGCCAGATAATTAGTGGCTGGCTCCACATAGTGGTTTCTCATGTAATTCCACTGAGTATGGGATTTATATTTGATCCCTCAGCACAGCATTACATTATATTAGTTTTCCAGTGAGGTGCCTGCCATTTGCAAGCCTGAACCATTGGAAAGCCTATACAGTAGAAGAGCCAAAGCTGGTTGGAGTCATTCTGGCCCCTGCTGAGCCCAGATCTGGTGGGTGAGATTAGGAATTAGAAAGATACTGTGCCCTCGTGCACATTGGTGAATGTGATGTTGGTGTTGGCAGAGAGGTAGGGTTAGTGTAATAAGGGGTGAGTCTAAGATGATTTTTAAAAAGAGCAGAGCGCTATATTGGGGAATATCATAGCACCTGAATCAGCATCTGGCACTTATGAAATACATGGCCATTGCACAGCCTTGGCTCAGAAGTTTCAAGGTAGCCAAGTTTATGGCACATGACTATGGAAGACAGACTTTTTTTTTTTCTTTTTTTTTTTTTAATTCTCTGATGTAATCTTATTTTGTCAAACCTCAATTATTTGGCAGTACTCTGAGACATACAGACTTATCTCTCAAGCTCCTTTACTCCTATAAGCACGACTGATTACATCAAGCATTTCTGCCTATGTGTCAAAGGCAGAATGTACGCTGGTGAGATGCAGTAGTTTAACTGTCTTTCTAGGGTGATAGGATGGCGAAGAAACTTCTGTGAAATGTCTTTCAGGGGCCAACGTACCAATTTCACTCAATTCACCTTTAAAGAAATAAGTGATTTTTGAAGCAGAGGACTTCAGTTAGAAGAAGAAAAAGGCATGAACCCGTTTTCACTCCCATACTGCTCCTTTGCAGGTGGCTTTTCTCTGCACAGTTCCTGTCTGTGACTAAGCCAAAGTCTGAGTTACTGACAGTGCTGCAGCTCAGCTTTGCATAGGGTCTGGATCTTGGAGCTTCAGAAGAACCTTCTGGCAAGGGGAGAAGGCTGAAGGCAGCCCCAGATTTTGCTGTTTGTTTGTTTCCACAAAGCCCTTGTCCATACT